TTAAATCTAACTATTATAGACTAGGATTAGCTCATTACCTTGATTGGATTGACTACATGAGCTATATAATAGCTCAATTTATTTTTTGAGATATATAGAATATTCCCATAAAAGAAAACAAAGCCTAAAAGGCCACATAGAAAGAGTATTGCCTAGTTGAACATAACTAGCTTGAGATCACCGAAATCCAATTTTCTGTAATGTGCATATGGAGTTTGGCTTGGGGATTGTGTAGGAAGTTTAGGAGAGCTAAAATGAAATGAGAATCTGCTCTGGGAGGTTGAGTCTTTGGAGAGGTTAAAACGAAGAATTTTAGACCAATTTTCTAATTCAAACCCTAGGGGCCAATTAGAGGGTTTTGATCCTTTTCGAAGCATTCTAGGATGAGTGATATATGTCCCCCAGGTGGTTAGAGGTAGAGTAAGGTACCATGATATGTAAAGCTTATTTTTCATTACATGGGAGGAAGGATCACTTAGGGCTGCTTAAGGCTAATCCATTTGCTCAAGATAGGTTTAGGGAGTGTTTAAGAATATTCTATAAGCTTTTTGAATGAATTGAATGAGTTTCCATGGAGGGAAATGCATTGGGTAAGCATATTTGACCCATTTAACAACATTTGATGTGTTAGTTGCCTATTTGACCAGCCAATAAGTCAAAGATAGGTAAGCTAGAGTATAGGGGGGTCTTTCATGATGTTTGAGTGAAGTATGAAGGGTTTGAGGCAATGATATTGAAGTTTGAATGAATGAATGTGTATGTATATGAGTTCGACTAAGTTCTAGTGAGTTGACATGGTCAAACTCACTTAAAATTGACTCACCAATAATTTGGTTGTGTTTAATCCATATATTGAAAGAGTTTGATAATTTGGCGAGGCTTGAATAACTTGATTTGATTGTAAGTGGTGATTTGGCCTAATTGGGTCTAGTTTGACCAAATCTAGGCTTTGTTGACCAAGTTAACTGATGACTAGGTTATCGAATTCAGTTAGGTCCATATCACTAGGAATAGTGTTAGAATAGTTTGGTGAAGATTTAAGCCGATAAATTGGATTTTGATTGGAGGTGATTGTATTAGATGATTAATTAGGCTGACTTGAGCTAGCTCAATTGGGTCATATGGGTCAGTTGATGATTGAAGAGCCCATTGATGGATGATTTGATATATGAAGATTCTAGTGAAGTGATTTGGATCATGATTGAAGTCAATGAGTCTATGCACTCTATAAGGTAGTGCACTAGGCTACCTGATTATAATGCAAGGCTGCAATTTGTCCAAGTGATTGTAGATCCATGATTGTAGATTGTAGAAAGTTATTGATTGATTGTATATTGAATGATTGAAGTAAAGTTGGATATAGGTTGATGGCTAATTGATAATTGATTAATTGAAGATGATTGATGTTGAGTATAGGCAATGATCAATGAATGTAAATTGCTAAAGGAAATTGGACATCAAGGAGGATTGCTAATCAAGTGGTTGTGAAACCACTGATTGCAGTTCTGATGATTGTAGATTGATTGAGGTGTTGATTGAAGATTTGATGATTTAAACTAGGTGTTTAGGTAGTTTATGTTTACGTCATAAAAAAATAAGGTCAACAATGTTGTTGTAGAGGAATTGCATGGGTAAAATCCTACTGATCACCCTTGGACTATTGTTGATTTTAAGGTGGGAAAACTCTATCGTGTTGTTATGATGCTATATTTTGCAGAGCCACCTCTTGGAGTTGAAGGACTTTAACTTGATGCACTTTCATCCTACAAGTAGGATCATTCATGTGAGGCTTGGATGGCATTTACCCTTATATTGACGTGTATTCGTTGATTACGTGATTGATTGTCAGCCATTGGAAAATTATATGTAGCATGTTTGGCTCATTTGGAATCAAATCGTGTCACTTCTGGTGTTGTTGAGTTCTTCTTATCGAGACATTCAATTCGACTATAAATTTCTTGAAATCGAAATTCAGTTGGCTCTGAATTTAATTCTAGAAGTTTTCAATAAAAAATAAAGCATCAATATTCGTATATATCAAGTGAATTTTTCAGAGACTTTAATTTCATTGTTGGTAACAAGCAGTTCAATTTTTGTTTTCTTTTCTGCTAGGATGTCTCATGTTTTGTACTGAATCATTGATGCTGTTACTGAGTCGTTTACCAAGCTTAATTTGGTTTCTTGGCTTCATTATTTTGGGAACCTTCTAATATCTTTTTGTATTGTCTCGAAGTATGGTTTTTCAACATGCCATGCTCTAATAGCTGCTAATTATTTCCCCATTTTCATTCAGGCTTGGAATATTTTGGGTGTCTCGTTGTGTCTGCTTTTGCTTATATACATATACATAGATAAAGAACTTGTGAAGTTATTAATTTATTAAAAATATCTCACCTACTTTGTCTAAGCAGCTTTTGTACAAACGAGAAAACAGCAAAGCTTCTCAGTTCTACAGTGATCAATATGCTCCATAGTGACATTATCTTAGTTGCGGGGTCCATTTTCCTTAAGATATGATTTATAGCATTGGAAAAGGAATCTAATCAATTAAAGCGAGTTTTTTTAAAATATTCCATTGCCCGTTAACTGTTGATGACGATCGCCTGGCCTGCTGATCATAAGTGTTTAGAGCTGTTCATCTTCCAAAAGCAGCTCTGAACAGTAAAAGTTAAAAAGCTATTGCGTTCTTTTAACTCAAAAGCACCATTTTTGCAAGCACAAGATCAGATTCCCCAAATTGTCTGCGATTTAATTAGCACTTAGTACTGGAATTCTGAATATGAGCCACTTTGTAGTATCAGATCTTCATTCCAAATCAATTTCCACATAAAAGCTGCTACAAATGTTCTCATAACAGTGTTTTAAAGGGCATAAGACAATTTATAAATTTGCTGCAATAATTTTTTTGAAAAAAAAATTAAAATGAAGTGAAGTCAGAAATAATATTTGATCAGTATTCATTTCATATAATTAATCTTAAAAAGATTAGTAAGGTAAAAGTATGTTAGTTATTATTGATTGAATTATATGTAAATAGAAATTATTTATTTATTAAAATTTTTTAAAAAATAATAAATAGAAATATTTTTTTGGTAATAGGAGATACTATAAAAAAAGAATATATATTTTTATTATAAATATTTAACTATTTAATATATCTAAAACAAAAATATTTTTTAATAATTAATTGAAATAGAGATTTTGGTTTTCCTGTACGAAGACTTAAAAAAAATTACAAAGAAGAATTGAGAGCTTTTAAAGCAATGAGATGAGTTGTAAATGATTTCTTGACTAAGGTTTCGTTTGGGGCAGTAAAAAAGCTTAATTGTAATAAAAATGCAGAGTTTATTTAAATAAATAACAAGGTATGAGACTTAAAAGTAGCTTAACAGAATGAAAATAATTAGTGTTATGCCGTAAGATGTCAAAAGAGGCTAAAATACGACTGCCATGAAAAAAGAATAAATTAAATTTCATTTGGGTTTAGGGTTTAGGGTTTTTTCTTTCCTGCGCCGATTGCTGCTTTGATTTCTTCTCTTCATCTCCCTCCTCCGGCTAGGCCGGAGGACTTTCTTCTTCTTCCTCTACTCTCATGGATGTTCCTTCTGGTTTTCCCCCTTTAGGCTCTGCCTCTGGTGGTATTTCGAACTCTTTGGATGTTTCGAACTCTTTGCCGAGGAACTGGAATAAGGTGTTTGCTCCGGATCTTTCAGCTCCCAAAGCTTTTCACTTCTCTCATCACCCTTCTGAGCCAGAGATCATTCCCTTTTCGAATGACAAGCTGAGCAAGGGCGGTGAAGAATGGAATCTATGCCTGGTTGGTTATTCGATTGGCCGCAGACCCTTCTACGAGGCTCTGCTGGGGGCTATTAACAAGACCTGGTCTCTAAAAGGCTCGCTCCAGTTACTTTCCCTAAATGACGGTTTCTTTCTCCTCCGATTCTCTTGCTAGGAAGACTTCGACATGGCATGGTCGAGAGGTGTCTGGTTCTTGTTGGGTAAGCCTTTTGTGCTTCAAAAGTGGCATCCGAAGTTTAAACCGAAGAAAGAAGAATTCTCAACTGTTCCAATCTGGGTGAAAATCCATGATTTGCCGCTAGCATGCTGGAACTCTGAAGGCATATCCGTATTGCCAGCAAAATTGGTATCCCGGTTGCAGCGGATAAGCTGACGGAACAGAAGACCAGGCTTACCTATGCCCGCATTTGTGTGCTTGTGGATAATCTTGCTACATATCCGGAGGAAATTCTGGTCTCCCTAGATGGCGATGTAGTAACCCTGAAAGTCCAATATGAATGGCGTCCAATTCCCTGTGAATTCTGTAAGTCACTAATGCACCTCTCATCTTCTTGTCCTTCTAAACCTAAGCAGGCATCTGATGAGGCTGCCAAAGACCAAGCTGGGAACCGTGGGAGAAGCTCCAGTAGAAATCCCCATGCCCGGTTTAATTCTAAAAATCGCAATTTCTCCAGACCCATTAACACCTCCACTGCCAACTCTCAGCCTGAACCGCAAACAAATAATGTCCAATCCTCCTCGCCCCCCACGGTCACCACTACTAATGCCTTAGGACAACCTATGTCATACCAACCTCATTCTCCAACCAACAAACCTCTTCCTTCCCAGCCTGTCTTGGTTGATGGGGAACCTCCTATAAGTGATATGCCGCTTAATGAAGATGCTATTGTCTCTGGTATTCCTAATCTCAATTCTCCTCACGAAGCAATATCCTCATCATCAGGCACTCAAAACTTTAATCCTCCGAAAGATTTTTCCTCTCCCAATAAGTTTGATGTTCTTAATTCTGAGGAAGATCAAACTCAACATTCTGACATCCCGGGGAGTTTAGATGGGAAATTGGAATCCAATGCTTCTGGACATTCCAAGGTACCGGATAAAGGAAAACAGATGCAAACATGCGCAACGGGGAAAAAAACTGCAAAGGGGAAGCAGAGCAAAAAACCCCAGTCTCAAAAAAACGGTTAATGTCTTTTCCACCCATGGCGGCGTGGAACATCAGGGGCTTCAACCACCCTGATAAAGTCATGAGCTGTAAGCGACTCATTAAATCGTTCAGGTTGAACTTGGTCTGTATATTAGAAAACAAAATTAATTCACATTCTGTTATGGATCCTTTTTTCGAATCTAATCACTCTCTGTTTCCCAATGAAGAAAGCTGTCACAATTTTGATTTATCCTCGTCGGGCAGGATATGGATTAAGTGGGATGCTGCGAAATTGAACTTTAAGCCCTCCTTCTCTTCTGACCAGGTCATTTTTGGGATTATCTAGGTTGCTGATAAACCGCTGCTCCAGCTCTCTGCTATATACGCCTCTAATAATTCTCTAGACCGCAAGGAGCTGTGGAACTCTTTGACTCATTTGGCGCCTGAACCTGACTTCCCTTGGGTTTTAATTGGTGATTTCAACTGCTGTCGCTATGCCTCTGAAAAGTTGGGTGGGAATCCTATTTCTCATCATGCTTTGTTTGATCTCAACAATATGATTTTTAGTAATAGTTTAGTGGATTTACACTCCGTTGGTTTTAAGTTCACTTGGTTTAATCAGCGCACCATTAATCCTATTCATATAAAACTTGACCGTGCTTTAGTGAATGCGGGATGGCAGAACAAATTTCCAAACTCTTACTGCTCTATTCAGAGCCCTTCCTGCTCGGATCATTGCCCCATCATTTTAAACTCAGGTATTTCTGTCAAGGTTTATCACCGCTTTCTTTTCAAGAACTACTGGACCAACTTTGATAGCTTCTGGGCTGTCTTACTGGAGGTTCTCTCTCTTCCTTGCTCTGGGAATTCTATTTCCCATTTTAGTAATTGCTTGAAGTTCCTTAAAGATAAAGTTAAAAGTGAGGATTGGTATTCCTCCTCATGTGTTTTTAGACATCTGGATGTCCTGAACGATAATCATGCTAATCTGTTGAGTAAGCTGCAAGTGGATCCTTATAACTTGAACCTCAATCACTCTTTCAAGGTTAGCACGGTGGAACTTGCTAAGTTCAATTCTATGTATGCCTCTTGGATAGTCCAACGGGCAAAAGTCAACTGGATAAGAAATGGGGAAGATGATTTAAAGTTTTTATTTGCAAAAATTAGAACTAGAAGAGGGTGCTCTAATTCTATGATCAATTTATTTGCTAATAACCATTCTTCTTCTAGAGCTGATGTTGTTAGTTCTTTAATCCAGTATTACCAAATACTTTACAACCCCTCTTCTCCCCCGTCCCCCAATGCTACTCAGGCCTGCTTTCCCTCTGGAACCTTGTTGCCGCAGGATGAGGCTATCCGTATGACCTCTTTGGTGCTTGATGAGGAGGTAAAAAAAAGCTGTTTTTTCGGGAAAATCTAATTCTGCTCCAGGTCCAGATGGTTTTAACTTCTTTTTTTATAAATCTTCCTGGCATATTATTGGCCCTCTGGTTTGCAGGACAGTACATTCTTTTTTTCAAAAATGCTATATGCCAAAAGGTCTCAAAGCTACTGCACTGGCTATCATTCCTAAACATAAGCATGCTTACGAAATTTCTGATTTTAGACCTATTGCATTATGTAATGTTCTTTACAAAATTATTGCAAAGGTTATTGCTGACAGACTGAAGCCGGTTATGCCTTCGATCGTCATGAACAATCAAGCTGGATTTGTCAAATCTAGAGTATCCACTGATAATATTTTGCTTGCTAGTGACATTCTTTCTTTTGTTGGTAAGGAAAGGGGAGTAACATTTTCTGTGCTAAGTTGGATATAAAAAAGGCCTTTGATTCTGTGAGTCGTGAATTCTTGCTCTCTAGGCTTTCTCAGAAAGGTTTTCCTTCTCTTTCTGTTAACTGGATTAAAGCTTGTATCTTTGACGTCAACTTCTCAATTATGCTCAATGGTGCCTTAGAGGGTTTCTTTCCTTCATCTGCTGGACTAAGACAGGGTTACCCTCTTAGTCCTTACCTCTTTTGCCTTGTGATGGATGCTTTCTCTAATCTTTTGGAATGCAGTGGTTTCAAAGGAATATCTGTGGACAACTTCTCTCTTACTCATTTGCTTTATGCTGATGATGTACTTATATTTGGGGAGGCCTCTATTGAAAATTGTAATAAGTTGGCTATCGTTCTTAGGGACTTTGCAAACTCCACGGGGCTTTATGTGAACTATGACAAGAGTGCCATTATGCTTACCAAAAATCAGAGAAATGTTCAAGCTATTTGTCAATCTTTATCCATTTTTAACATAGTTAATAAGATCAATTATCTTGGCATTCCTTTATCTTTTTATAAGCTGAAAATAGAGGACTTCTTGCCGCTTTTGGATAGTATTAACAAAAAAATGAATGGATGGAAGGCCAACCTGCTGTCCTTTGCGGGCAGGCTCCAGTACATTAAATTTACTATTCAAAATACCATTGCATATTGGATTAGGGGGTCAATCTTACCAAAAACTGTATACAAACATTTCAAAAAAGCCTGTTCCAAGTTCTTGTTTTTTGGTGACTCTACGCATGCTAAGAAACTTCATATGGTGTCCTGGGATAGGATTTGTAGGCCTAAATATAATGGGGGTTTGGGCATTCCCTCCATTTCTGCTTTACAATTCTCTTATAGCTGCTCCGTTATTCTTAGGATGTACAACGCCCCTTCTCCTCTATCCAAATGGCTTATTTGCTATCACAAATCCCCATGGAAGCCCCCTCGTGCAACTGATTCAAAAATATGGAAGCTTATCTGTAATACCGCAATGGCTGTAAAATACTGTTTTACCTTCAGCATTACCCAGCAGGCTCCCATTCATTTCATATGGGATCACTGGTGCAATAATAAAACCATTTCTGAATATTTGGGGGGTAATCCGGATGGTATTTCTCATGACTTTTGCTTAAATGAGTTAATTATTGGCACTCAGTGGGTTATTCCGAATCACTTTCCTTTGAATTTGAAAAATGTCATTGCTGGGATCAATATTGGTGATACTGGGCATTGTTTGCTGTGGGGAAACCGAAGCACTTATAAATTCAAAAACTTCATGGATGAATACTATTCAGATATACCGAGCTGCTCTTGGTTTAAGTTGGTTTGGCCT